TCTATGTCTAACCTGCTCCTATGTCTAACCTGCTCATATGTCTAACCTGCTCCTATGTCTAACCTGCTCCTATGTCTAACCCTCATATGTCTAACCTGCTCCTATCTATGTCTAACCTGCTCCTATGTCTAACCTGCTCCTATGTCTAACCTGCTCCTATGTCTAACCTGCTCCTATGTCTAACCTGCTCCTATGTCTAACCTGCTCCTATGTCTAACCTGCTCCTATGTCTAACCTGCTCCTATGTCTAACCTGCTCATATGTCTAACCTGCTCCTATGTCTAACCTGCTCTATGTCTAACCTGCTCCTATGTCTAACCTGCTCTATGTCTAACCTGCTCATATGTCTAACCTGCTCCTATGTCTAACCTGCTCCTATGCTAACCTGCTCCTATGTCTAACCTGCTCCTATGTCTAACCTGCTCCTATGTCTAACCTCTGCTCCTATGTCTAACCTGCTCCTATGTCTAACCTCTGCTCCTATGTCTAACCTGCTCCTATGTCTAACCTGCTCCTATGTCTAACCTGCTCATATGTCTAACCTGCTCATATGTCTAACCTGCTCATATGTCTAACCTGCTCCTATGTCTAACCTGCTCCTATGTCTAACCTGCTCCTATGTCTAACCTCTGCTCATATGTCTAACCTGCTCATATGTCTAACCTGCTCATATGTCTAACCTGCTCCTATGTCTAACCTGCTCCTATGTCTAACCTGCTCATATGTCTAACCTCTGCTCATATGTCTAACCTGCTCCTATGTCTAACCTGCTCCTATGTCTAACCTGCTCATATGTCTAACCTCTGCTCATATGTCTAACCTGCTCCTATGTCTAACCTGCTCCTATGTCTAACCTGCTCCTATGTCTAACCTGCTCCTATGTCTAACCTGCTCCTATGTCTAACCTGCTCCTATGTCTAACCTCTGCTCCTATGTCTAACCTGCTCCTATGTCTAACCTCTGCTCCTATGTCTAACCTGCTCCTATGTCTAACCTGCTCCTATGTCTAACCTGCTCATATGTCTAACCTGCTCCTATGTCTAACCTGCTCCTATGTCTAACCTGCTCCTATGTCTAACCTGCTCCTATGTCTAACCTCTGCTCATATGTCTAACCTGCTCCTATGTCTAACCTGCTCCTATGTCTAACCTGCTCATATGTCTAACCTGCTCCTATGTCTAACCTGCTCCTATGTCTAACCTGCTCATATGTCTAACCTCTGCTCATATGTCTAACCTGCTCATATGTCTAACCTGCTCCTATGTCTAACCTGCTCCTATGTCTAACCTGCTCATATGTCTAACCTCTGCTCATATGTCTAACCTGCTCCTATGTCTAACCTGCTCCTATGTCTAACCTGCTCCTATGTCTAACCTGCTCCTATGTCTAACCTGCTCCTATGTCTAACCTGCTCATATGTCTAACCTGCTCATATGTCTAACCTGCTCATATGTCTAACCTGCTCATATGTCTAACCTCTGCTCATATGTCTAACCTGCTCATATGTCTAACCTGCTCATATGTCTAACCTGCTCCTATGTCTAACCTCTGCTCATATGTCTAACCTGCTCCTATGTCTAACCTGCTCCTATGTCTAACCTGCTCCTATGTCTAACCTGCTCCTATGTCTAACCTGCTCATATGTCTAACCTCTGCTCATATGTCTAACCTGCTCCTATGTCTAACCTGCTCATATGTCTAACCTGCTCCTATGTCTAACCTGCTCCTATGTCTAACCTGCTCCTATGTCTAACCTGCTCATATGTCTAACCTGCTCCTATGTCTAACCTGCTCCTATGTCTAACCTGCTCATATGTCTAACCTGCTCCTATGTCTAACCTGCTCATATGTCTAACCTGCTCCTATGTCTAACCTGCTCATATGTGTAACCTCTGCTCATATGTCTAACCTGCTCCTATGTCTAACCTACTCATATGTCTAACCTGCTCATATGTCTAACCTGCTCCTATGTCTAACCTGCTCCTATGTCTAACCTGCTCCTATGTCTAACCTGCTCCTATGTCTAACCTGCTCCTATGTCTAACCTGCTCCTATGTCTAACCTGCTCATATGTCTAACCTGCTCCTATGTCTAACCTGCTCATATGTCTAACCTGCTCCTATGTCTAACCTGCTCCTATGTCTAACCTCTGCTCCTATGTCTAACCTTTGCTCCTATGTCTAACCTTTGCTCCTATGTCTAACCTTTGCTGCCCCCTACAGGATCAGTTCCAAAAGTCTGAAATTCGTCATTGGCAGTGAATGAGTAAAGGGTCTTAGCTGACTTATATTTTCCTTTTTAAATCCACATTTTCAACAGTCATAAAATAAAACCTTTTCCATTGCTCGCCTTGACAAAAGTGAAATGTTTTATAGACTCATTGTGAACTCCAGACCAGGCTTATAGAAGGCCTAAATAAGATAAGACTTGTAAATTTCTCCTGTGTGAGATTAATACATTATATCTTATCTTAAATCAACATTAGTTACTGAGCTTGGTTTATGAAGCAACAAATTGTCTGACCTTCTATTTGAACCGGGCTTATTCTCATTGGCATTGTTCATATGTATTTTTTTCTTTTCACAGATGATTAAATGTTTCTCTTATATGTTTTAGGAAAGGTTGTTGTCAAAAAGAGGAAGTGGACTGAGGAAGAAATCCAGGCTGTGGAGAAAACCCTCATCGACTGCATCAGGACCCTAAAGGTTCCCGGGAAAGCCCAGTGTCTGGAGTGTATTAACGCTTCACAGACCGCTCTTAAAGGGAGAACATGGGAGGGAGTGAAGTTCTATGTAAAAAACCGCATAGATGCTCTAAAGAGAGAGTCTTCAAAATGAAAAATTTAAATTGTTTAAATACAGTCATTTTATTTTGTTAAGACATCTGTTCTTTCAGTATCTTTTATTGTTTGAATCATTTTATTTTGTTATTTGAAAAATGCATTCACTGCAGTATTCGTCATGTTAAAAAATAAATGTTTTATTATAAACTTTCATAATCTGGGCTAATAAATTGCACAATTAACCAGTGATTTACTTACAACACAAGTCTACAATATTCTCCTAATCTTTCATGTCAAAGGAATACACCAAAGTAACAAGTAAAATGCATGAAGTTCCTAGGAGGCAAGTTTGAGACAATATAAAAATAATAATAAAAAAAAAATCTTATAGTGACACCTGATGGTGGTTTTTGGTACTACATAATTGTTAGTCCCCATGGGAATAGAAAGTCCAGACAAAAGAAAAAAATGAAGATTTTGGGACTTGAGGTGATATCAGAGGGGCCACGCCCCCCCCTGCAATTCTGTCTTAAAGCCAATTTTTTATGAGTTAAAATGAGCAATTAATTATTGTTTAAAGTGAGGTCCTCACCATGCATGTTCTAGACAACTTAAAAAACTGGTCCCCACCGTGTAATAAAAACACGTGTGTGTGTGTGTGTGTGTGTGTGTGTGTGTGTGTGTGTGTGTGTGTGTGTGTGTGTGTGTGTGTGTGTGTGTGTGTGTGTGTGTGTGTGTGTGTGTGTGTGTGTGTGTGTGTGTGTGTGTGTGTGTGTGTGTGTGTGTGTGTGTGTGTGTGTGTGTGTGTGTGTGTGTGTGTGTGTGTGTGTGTGTGTGTGTGTGTGTGTGTGTGTGTGTGTGTGTGTGTGTGTGTGTGTGTGTGTGTGTGTGTGTGTGTGTGTGTGTGTGTGTGTGTGTGTGTGTGTGTGTGTGTGTGTGTGTGTGTGTGTGTGTGTGTGTGTGTGTGTGTGTGTGTGTGTGTGTGTGTGTGTGTGTGTGTGTGTGTGTGCGTGCGTGTGTGTGTGCGTGTGTGTGTGTGTGTGTCTTGGTCTGGTTTCATTCCATTGGTATTTTAGTGTGTGTCGTTGTCATGTGTTTGTTTCTTGTTTTTGTATTGTGGTGTGTGTCACAACGGCTGGAAAGGGGATTGGACTAATTTTGCTTCATCAAATCCGATTTCAAACTATGTGCAGGTTTTTTTGTAAATTATTATATTCCATTTCTCAGAATAATTGTTGGTAAATTATGTGCATGGTTGAAACTAAACAGAAACATAATTGTGGATGAGAAACAACTACCGGTCCGGTTTGGAAACCTTATGTTTATGATTGCATTTTCCTCATAGTGATAATAATTCTTTTCTCTTAATGGCATGTTTTAAACCAACCCAAGGAGGCCTCAAAATAGACTAAAAATCAGGTGAATGTCATTAGCCAGAATACATCACCGCAGAAGATCGTTGACAACTTTAAACAGCTGGATATTAATTTGACGCAGTATTTGATTAATTCCAAGCATTTTATCCAATCAAAACTTGAAGGAAGAAACAGCCGGGCGTCCATCCATCATGAACGTGTGTGGGAAAGACGTTGAAGTAGCTAGACGCCTGTCAATCCTGATAAGATTTCACCAGAAGACTTGAAAAACAGACCTGACACTGATCTATTAGCTCCTGGATTTTTGGACCAGACTTCAAATTGAACATGACAGAAAATCACGCGTTTCGTCAGGAGCCAGATGCAGTTATTTGTGTCAGTTTTCCTGCGGAGAGAAAACTGGGACGCAGACAAAGCCTTGGAACCGGGTGACGGAACCAGGTGGCATTTCTATACATTGTTGGTTGATAGTTGCGTCCCCTTGAGTGTTTTAGAAATACTTTTTTCTTAGATTTTCTACTGTAATTGATGGAAAGGATGTTGCATTGTTCATGAAAGCTTAATTATGGATTCAATTAATTTAAATCACATTAAAAAGGGTGGAGAATACTAGAGTTACAGTCAGGACTCACAGACAGGAGAATAAATATGTGGTCATGAGTATATTATAGTAATAATGTCAGAGCAAAAAACATTAAGTAATAGTTCTTCACCAAAAGTTCCACAGTGTGAATTAAATTAATTTTAATTGAATTAATAAGTTTGAGTTTTGTCCTTGGTGTACTTTAGATCAAGTAGTTTCACCAGTTATACCTCAGTGGTTGCCATGGCGCAGTTCTTACCTTGATGTCGGAGTAGGACACTTCCTGTGGACGGTCTGGACCCTGCCCCGGAGTCGCCACGACGGTCGTCACTTTGCCGCTGTCTCCTGCAACAAAGAATCCAGCATTAGGCTTAGACGTGGGAAGAAACTGAAGGTGCAGGGTCTGGGATCGTTCTACAGTGGATCTTTTATGACACTTATCTGGAATTGGCTAATTTCAAAACTTTTTTGTGACAGATGTTCATTCTAGTTTAATTTTTTTTTTTTAAACCATGGGTTTGATTATGAGGACTCAAACCCCAGTTTTTGTTGGAATGTATTAAGCTTGTTCAGTGCAGGGCAGTTTTCAGAGTATTCTCTGCTCTAGCTATGGCCACATTCTACATCCTGATATTTCCTCTCCTGTATATCTTTGCAGTAGTGATCCATTTTAGAACCTTGGTGAGGTTGAAGTCAAAGGCTTATTCTTTGTTACTAGGGATGCACCGATACCAATTCTGGTATCGGGTCAATACCATAGGCTTGAAATCCGGTACCTACATTTGTGATTTACATTAGCGTCACAACAGCAGACGGTTGTGTTGCCATGGTGATCTCCCAAAGTCAGCAGCAAGAAAGCAAGCTACTAACACGCATGCTTCCGCCAAGTGGACAAGATGTTGGCCGTATGGCAGTTTCTTAAAGTAAACAAGAGTGAAGCGGACTGTACATTGTGTGTAAAGGCAAATCTGTCACGAGGTGAAGTATAAAACAAACTCGTATAACACAAGCAACTTGATAAAACTCACCACCACACACAGTAACCTTTGCTAGCACCGGAGCCATTTCTTTGTACTATTTGTTTGAGTGGAACATGACTCTTTTTGACTGTTAAAACAATGGCTAAATGCTTAATTTTTTTATTGTTCAAATGAGAAAAAAAAAAATTTGTTTTATGAATTTACAGGGATAACAATTCAGTACTCTTATCGGCATTGGAAGTACTCCAATTAAAGCTGCACTAACTGACTTTATTTTCGTATTCATTACGAAAATGCTATCCATGTCCATGTAGTGCATTGGGATATACGTCCTTTTGAAGAATAATTAGCGCAGATTTGTGCTGGCGTGACATTATATTTTAGATCGAGTTTTGATGAAACAAGGAAGAGAATGTGTTTCGGGTCGCAGATTGTGACCAATCACAGCGCACCACTAGCCCCCACTTTCGTGAGAAATCTACAGGTCCGTTAGCACAGACAGCTGAGTTAGCACAACAAGCCGAGGAGCTAACCTGAAGCTTCGTGTCTTCATCACCGGTTACTGCTTACTTAGCGAAACAGCCATCCAAAAGAAACGCTTCCCGGTTCTATCGTTTTATGGTCACGCCATCCACGTGCAAATCCATATTCATGTATTATCCATATTGGGAGACACTAGCTCCGTCCCAACAGTGGGTGTGTGTGGGGGGCGATAGCTTCGTGGGTGCGGGGAGGGGAGCAGAAAGAGAGAGGCCAGCGGGTCCGCGGCTTCAAAATCCCAAAGTCAGTTAGTGCAACTCGTATCGGTTTTGAAATAAGTGGGATCGGTGCATCCCTATTTGTTACAGTAGCGGGAACAGGCCTGGACTTGCTCAGCCCCAGACAGTAGACTCCAGCAGCGTGGGCTTCCCACCCGACTCTGTCCTTCTGCTACAAGAGACTTGGAGGTCAAAGATTCACTCTATCTCAAAGCTGCGTGACATTTGGTCTCACAGAGCATGTAAAATCAACTATGAGCAAAACCCTTGGTCTCCTGCAGAGCGGAGACAGAGGCTCTAATCAGGTTTGATGTTAAACGCATGTCTGTGTCCAGGCTGAAACCACCAATTCACTCAGCACAGAACTCATTTGTTGATTACATAAAAACTCATTAATTTCCATCACAATCCCATTTGTAACGAGAGACTAAGTTATCGGTAAGTGAACATTTCTGCATGCCTCTAAACCTTTAGTTTTAATCAATATATCCTTATACTCTTTCATTAAATATTCTCTATTTGAGCTTGCCCCCCTTGTGAAACTTTAGGGTTTTGTTGGTCACTGCACTTGTGTAAGACTAAGATATAGTTTATTCTATAGCCATCACCAGTTAATTGTGGGTGACATTTATAGGGGGAGCCACAACAGGAGTCCAACCTACAAAACAAAAGTACCACGTGACGATCTCGTCTAGACTCCAGCTCACGCACTAATCGCAGCCGGGTTAATGTATGGAAAAGGTGGCATTAGTGAAACCGAGTCTGAACCCGACCCCACAGTCTGTGCGACTCTGACTATCTGAATATTTAGGTTAATGCTCCAGTGCTCACGATGTCTCCGAGAAAGAGGACAGTTCATGGAGAAAGCACTAAGGCTAATTAAACTGACGACCGAACTGGGACCATAGACTGTATAAAGATGGACAATGCTAACATGCTAGCTAAATGAAGCCCAATAAAGGAAGTTTCTCTCCTCTGGCTCTATTTGACCAACATTCATTTATTTTCTATCCCTTCATCAGTCCATTTCTGGGTCGGGGGGGGGGCAGACATGAGTGGGAACGGTGGAAATAGGTCTCGTGGGGCGATCAAACCCACGACCTTCAAGCCCAAACTTTTCAGATTCTTGCTGCATAAATCTGGAACAAGCTTCCTGAAGATGTGAGACAGGCCTCCTCTCTGACAATATTTAAAACCAGGTTAAAAACAGTTCTGTTTAGCTGCATACAACTGAGGGATTTTATATTTTTATCTTTCTTTTTAAGGTGATTTAATGTGATTATTTATGCTTTCTTATTTTGTTCAGCACTTTGAGTTACCTTGTGTATGAATTGTGCTATACAAATAAACTTGCCTTTCCTAGCCACTATCTAAGCAACCTTTTGTGTCACACTTGCTCCTGGTGTTTATATTTGGATATTGTCTTTGTAACTCCAGATATGAGCCATAAGGTTTGGCCAATCAGATGCCTTCATTATTCATAGGGTAAACTCCAGAATTCTTTAGAAACAATCTCTGCACATAAGGAAATGAAGGCTATGGCTGCCACTATGGCTGCCACTATGGCTGCCACTATGGCTGCCACTATGGCTGCCACTATGGCTGCCACTATGGCTGCCACTATGGCTGCCACTATGGCTGCCACTATGGCTGCCACTATGGCTGCCACTATGGCTGCTGTCACTCCTGTAACTCCTGTATTCGTCCCGGAAACCGGATTTGTCCGGAAGTTCAGTTTGCGCATGTCAAAAGGTTTAATATGTCCTTAAGTGGAGACTGGTTAAGTTTAGGCGTCTGATTAAGATGCTTAAGTTTAGGGTTAAGGCTGGGTTGGGGTTATTTTATGGGAATGGCTGGTTAAGTTTAGGCAGGAATAGGTAGTTTTTTATATTTACTTCCGCTTCCGTCCAGATTCCGTGACGTAATCTACTGCTGCGTATGCTCATTGGATCAAACTGAACTTCCGGACGAATCCGGTTTCCGGGACGAATACGGGAGTGACAGCTGCCACTATGGCTGCCACTATGGCTGCCACTATGGCTGCCACTATGGCTGCCACTATGGCTGCCACTATGGCTGCCACTATGGCTGCCACTATGGCTGCCACTATGGCTGCCACTATGGCTGCCACTATGGCTGCCACTATGGCTGCCACTATGGCTGCCACTATGGCTGCCACTATGGCTGCCACTATGGCTGCCACTATGGCTGCCACTATGGCTGCCACTATGGCTAACACTATGGCTAACACTATGGCTAACACTATGGCTAACACTATGGCTAACACTATGGCGACGCTAGCACTAGGTTAGTCCTCTCCTGATATTTGTAATCCATGGTAAAGACACTGGAAACATATGATTTGAAATTAAGACTAGTTTTGAGCTACTTCATCTGAACTTATAATAGTAACCAATGTGCTTTTATATTACAAACTACACACAGGACACTGATAAACACTGATGAACGACTACAAGCATCCTCAGTCTCATTGCCCGTGAAGCAAAGAAATGGCTGGTTCCGTGTTCCTTCAGATGTCTTTCACATGTAACGTGTTCTCTTTGATCCTCAGAGCAGCTGCGTGTGTCCAGGTGGATCTGAAAGTCTGATCGCTCTCTTTGTGAATGAACGGAGAGCAATTGATGGTTACATGTTCTGTGTTTGAAGCAGACCTCCGAGCGGAAAACCTCTCAAACCAATAAAGAATAATTTAATATTTGTCATTTTATTTTTTGTACATAAAGTTTGCAAACTTATCTGCGATACTTTTATCTCAGCGGAATTTTAGAAACTTGTTTTATAAAATGTGCTATATGACTAAAGTGGATTGGATGGATTACCAATAGAAAGAGAACAAGTCACAAAGTTATGAAGAATGTACATGGGGAGTTATTACACTTTCAAAACTAAAAAGCCGTTGCTCAAATGTAATGACAAAATATATGACGCATGTATATGATGGCATGGACAAATAAATACATAAAAAGCCCTCAAATTGACTGCTCTGAGGGCTCAAGAGTTAAAGAATGAGAGGAAGGGCAGAGTTATGTACATGCTTATAACAGATATTAGCGTGAACTTATCATTTCCAAGACCATGAGGTAAAAAATCTCTACAGTGGAGTTTGTATAATGCTTTAACAGTCGTGTGAGAAGTCAGTTTCCGGTCTCTACGATGACATCAACACAGACATGAGCCAGAGAAACAAAGTGCTGTAAACATGGACTCTTGTTTTATGAGCAGAGAAGCAGGGCAGTGACTCAGGGGCTCAGACAATTAACTGCGGTCACCTCCACAGGACGTCCCACATGGTTAACAACCGTGAACTCACAAACCAGCAACAGCACGCAGGACTCCAGCCAGAGACACAGACAAATCACTCCAACTCCCATTAACAATTTGGCACTTTACAACCACCCCTCTGTGGCACTTTCTGTTCCCAGAGGTCTCTCATCATAGTACTAACCAGGCCCTGCCCAGCTTAGCATCAGAGGTACAGCATGATCTGGCTTTCACATGTGACTGTAATCTACTAGGGTTTCTCACGGGAGCCTCATTGTTAATTTTTGCATAATTTCAAATGAGATTTTCAACTAGGGACCAACAG